AGCATCGTTCGTGATGCACTGTCACCTGGAAATATTGGTTATGGACAATGGGACGTCATCTACCAGCAGGTAATTAGAATATTTCCTGAAGTCAAATGACATTCGGCACATAAGCACAGCTCCACACCATCCAGCGTCCAATGGTCTAGCAGAAAGAGCGGTCCAAACATTGAAGGCAGGCTGAAGGAACAACCTACAACACCTCTTGATACCAAGCTGTCCCGGTTTCTGTTCGATTATAAGAGCACCCTCACTCAACAACAGGTGCAGCTCCAGCAGAGTAGCACACAGGGAGAAGACTCTGCATCAGGTTAAACCTGATAGTTCCAGACCTGGGGTGGAGGGCGAAACAGCAGCAGGAACGCCAATTCCGGCCACATGCCTTCTCTAAGTGAGAGAGACAATTTAATTCAGGGTACGAGGTTTTGTGGTGGAATCATGGAAATGGCCCTGTATGGGTACGAGGTGAGGTTGACTTGAGGTCATGTCTTGTGACTTACAAAGTTTGTATAGGTGAGACGGTCTTGAACAATCATGTGGATCACCTGAAAGCTGTTACCTCACAAACGGGGAAGGAGCAAAACATACCTGGCCCCTCAGAACAGCTGGAAGGCCTGTAAGAAACTCTAGGTTGTTCCCCTCCATCTAGTGTCAAAGAAACCTCAGAGTCCAAGATGAATGCAGCCTTGATACCGATACCACAAGAAGAAGAGAAGGAAACTCTCCTGAGGTGCTCCGTATGCAAGAGACGGACTACGATCTGGTACACACTCTCCCCATGTCAGAGTCTGAGTCAGAGGAACTGGACCTTGGGTGAAAATGTTGCAAGAAAAGCTACAAGAGAAAGACCAGGCCTCCATCCCTTGACTTAAGGGCGGGGAGGGGGGGTATGTAGTGATTGGAACCATCTGGATCTTGTTGACGATGAGCTCCTTGATTGGGGTTGCTAGTTTGGGTCAATCAGGAAAGCCCTGGCTGATCAATATAACCAGGAGATTAGAATCTCCCTAGGTTGGGGAACTGGCTCCAAGCTGGCTGGCTGGTTACAGCCAGTGAGCTGTGCACTAGTAAATGAAGGGTGACTTGGTAATGGGATACCAGCCTCTGCGCAGTTAATTCAATTACCTAAGTGGAGAGAAACTGCAGAAAGCTGCAACACTAAGGGACTTGAAGGTGCTGGGCATGAAACACAGCAAGCTAGCACACAGGTGCAGCAGGTAAAAGATTAAATAGTTTGAGACTATATTCATTGGCGTTCTGAAGAATGAGAGGTGATCTTATTGAAACATATAGGATTCCTAAGGGTCTTGACAGGGTAAATGCTGAGAAGATGTTTTCTCTCATGGAGGAGCCTAGGACCAATGAGTATAGTCTCAGAATGAAGCTGTTTCAATTTAAGACTGAGATGAGGAGCAATTTCCTCTGAGGGTTATGAATCTTTGGAACTCCTTGCTACAGAGAGATGTGGGAGCAAAGTCCTAATTCAAAGATGAGCTAGATCGATTCTTGAGCATTGAGGTAATCAAGGTTTATGGGAAAAGGGCAGAAAAGTGGATGTGTGAAGTGTTGAATCAGTCATGATCATATTGAATGGCAGAGCAGGCTTGAGGGGGTAAATGGCTTACTTCTTCTGTCCCTGTTTCTTATGGTCTAAATTTGCTGAAAGGTAGGCAGGAGAGTAAGTTGTGAAGAAGACATAAATATTCTTCAAAAGGATGTAGAGTAATTGAAAGAATGAGCAAAAATTTGGTGGATGGATTATAATGTGGGAAAATGTGAACCTGTCCACTTTGGAGGAAGAATAGAGGATCAACCTATTGTTTATATGGGGAAATATTAGTCATAGAGTTGTACATCATGGGAACAGACTTTTTGGTCCAACTTGTCCATGCTGACCAGATACCTTAAATTAATCTAGTCCCATTTGGTGCATATCCTTCTAAACTCTTCCTATTCATGTACCCATCAAGATGCCTTTTGAATGTTGCAATTGTACCAGCATCCATCACTTCCTCTGACATTACCACTTTCTATGTGTAAAAGTTGCCGCTTAGGTCCTTTTTTTTATATCTTTTTCCCTCTCACCTTAAACCTATACCCAGTGGTTTTGGACTTGCCTACCCTGGGGAAAAAAAAAAACCTTGGCTATTCACCCTATCCATACCCCTCATGATTTTATAAACCTCTATAAGATAACCCTAACGCCTCAGTCTCCAACGCTCCAGGGAAAATAGCCCCAGCCTATTCAATCTCTCCCTATAGCTCAAACCCTCCAATCCCTGTAGCATCTTGTAAATCTGTCTGCACTCTTTCAAATTTCACAACAACTTTCCTGAAGCAGGGAGACCAGAAATGAATGCAATATTCCAATAATGGCCTAACTAATATCCTGTACAACCACAACATGACATCCAAACTCCTATACTCAATGTACTGATCTCCTGTCTACCTGTGACTCCACCTTCAAGGAATGAACCTGCACTCCAAGGTCCCTTTGTTTGGCAGCTCTCCCCAGGACCTTAACATTAAGTGTATAAGTCCAGCCCTGATTTACAAAATGCAACACCTCACATTTATCTAAATTAAACTCCAACTGTCACTCATCAGCCCATCTGATCAAGATCCTGGCATACTCTGAGATAATCTTCTTCACTGTCCACTACACCTTGTGGTGTAATCTGCAAACTTACTAACTATACCTCCTATATTCATATCAAAATCATTTTATAATTGACAAAAAGCAGTGGACCCAGCACCGATCCTTGCGGCACACCGCTGGTCATAGGCCTCCAGTCTGAAAAACAATCATCTACCATCACCCTCTGTCTCCTACCTTCAAGCTAATTTTATATCCAATTGGCTAGCTCCCCCTGGATTCCATGTGATCTAACCATGCTAACCAGTTTATCACGAGCAACCTTGTCAAACACCTTGCTGAATTCCATACAGACAACATTTACTGCTCTGCCTTCATCAATCTTCTTCATCACTTCTTCAAAGGTCTCAATCAAGTTAGTGAGACACGATTTTCCATACAAAAAGCCATGCTGACTATCTCTGATCAGTCCTTGCCTTTTCAAATGGACGTGGATCCTGTCCCTCAAAATTGTCTCCAACAACTTAACCACCACTGACATCAGTTTCACCAGTCTATAGTTCCTTAGCTTTTCCTAACCATCCTTTTAAAATAATGGCTCCACATTAGCCACCTGAGGCTATCAATGATACAAATATCTCAGCAATTACTCCTATTGCTTCCCACAGAGTTCTGGGATCCACCTGATCAGGTCCTGGGAATTTATCCACCTTTATATATTGTAAGGCATCCAGAACCACCTCCTCTGTAATATGAACGCTTTTCAAGATATCACTTTATTGTTTGCAAGCTCTCTTGTTGAACTCTGAGATAAAGGGATCTCGGTGGCTTGTTATATGAATTTCAAAAAGTTAGCATTTAGGTACGGTAAATGATTAAGGAGGCAAATGGAATGCAGTTTTTCATAGTGAGAGGAATGAATTGTAAAAGTAGGAAAGTTTTGCTACAATTGTACAGCGTGTTGGTGAGACCACATCTGGAGGATTGCATACAGTCCTGGCCCTGTTCAAAGCGGAAAAGGTTCACTGCACTGATTCTTGAAATAAAATTCCTTTCTTATGAGGAAAGGGTGGAGAAATGAGGTCTGCATGCGCTAGAGTCTAGACAAATGAAAGGTGGTCTTATTGAAACATATAAGATTCTGTGGGGATTTGACTTTGGGTAGATGTAGAACTGATGTTTTCCTTTATGAAAGAGACTAGACATAGAGGAAACAGTTTAAAAATAAGGGGTATCCCACTTATGAAGGATATTAGGAAAATTTCTTTCTCTCTTTCTCTCTGTCCTTCCCCAGAGAGCAGAACAGGTGGGGTCACTGAATCTTTTTTAGGTTGTGTGAGATAAATTCTTAACTAACAAGGGAGTCACTGGTTATAGGGTATAGACAGGAAAGTAGAGCTAAGGTCAGATCTGCCAAAATTCTATCCAATGTAGGGCAGACTTGAACGGTCAAATGGCCTACCGCTGCTCCTAGTTCACATGTACATATGCATGAATATGTTGCAGATAGTAGGCAGGCTTTGAGGAGGCAAATTACCACATTTCTGAGCCTCTGACCTGCTCTTGTAACCATAGTGTTTATTTGGCTAGTCCAGTTTGGTTTCTGGTCAGTGGTAGCCCCAGGATGTTGATAGTATGGAATTCACTGATAATAAGGCCATTGAATTTCAAGGGGAGATACTCTCTTCTTTGAGAGATATTTTAGTTGCCATTTATCAGCTCAAGGTCTGAATGCTGTCCAGTCCTTGCTGCATATTTGCGTGGTCTGCTTTAGTACCTGAGGAGTTGCAAATGGTGCTGAATATTGTGTAATCATCAGTGAACATTTCTGATTTTATTCTGGAGGGAAGGACATTGATGAAATGTCTGAAGATGATTTTGGCAAGATACTAATCTGAGGTACTCCTGCTGTAACGTCCTATGGCTGAGACAATTTACTTCCAACAACTGCAGCCATCTTCCTTTGTGCGAGGTATGATTTCACCCAATGGGACGTCTTATCCCTGATTTCCATTGACTTCAGTTGGCTCCACGATGTTACACTTGCTCAAGTGCTGCCTTGATGTCAAGGACAGACACTTTCACCATATCACTTGAGCATGTTTTTTGTCCATGTTTGGACCAAAACTGCATTGGGTTAAGGAGCCAAGTGGCGAGTGAGCAGTTTCTTGTGTGCAAGTGCCCTTTGATAATGGTGGGAAATGACTCCTCCTATCACTTCATGAAGAGGTTGATGGGGCAGTAATTGGCTAGTTTGGATTTGTCCTGCTTTTTGCAGACAGGAAGTGTCTGGGCAATTTGCACATTGTCAAGTAGGTATTAGTGATGAGTTGTTTATCCTTTTATTGTGTCAGTTCTGAGACCATATCATCATAAACATTGATCTTGGCTGCACATACAAAGATTATCTATGTTTGCTGCTATTTATTTTGCTCTATACAATAAATGATTGTGATAAATAACAATCCTCCAGCTATGATTGCAACAGAGATGAGGCCAGTGGTCTTTGCTGCAAGCCTTCTGGTTGTTGTTTGATCTGAATGAAAGAAAAGCAAAGAATGATTAAATTAATATCAGAAGCTTTCATTACACAATAACATGTACAAGTACTGTTTTAAGTTTCCACTCTTAAGGTTCTTTCACTTAAAAGTTGTTTATCCTTTATATCGTCTCTCCTAATTAAAAGTGCCATTCCCATTTAAACATCTCTTACTTTCTGTTCACATCTCGTATCATTGGGTCTTACAGCATTATGATTCTTATGTCGGTTTTTAAGTCATGTCATCACATTGTCAGTGAGGCCACACCACTTGTGATGCTACAGATAGCAGCAATGGTCTGTGCTCTGCAGTTGAAGATCAACGTTCTTTTTAAATAGTTCTCTGCTCTGTTACCGAAGTAAACTTTGTTTTAAATCTTTTTTTAAAAATTTCTCTGCTGTTTGTACCTGCATGAGTAGAGGACCTGCTGTGGACTTAGTTTTTAAAATAATCTCAGCTAAGGCTATACTGTACAGTGCTTTACAAAAGCTGAGGAACTTACATTGTAACTGTACTGTACTATAAATTTCTTTAACAACTTCTCTGCAAGCAAGAAGCCTGCATCCTTCATTGTCGCTTTCCTTGTTTCACAAATTATTTCAGCAAGAAATACACTTACTTCCTTTTTTTTAGATTTAGATTTAGACTTTATTTTCATGTATACTCATGTACAAAAGTACAGGAGTACAATGAAAAGTTTTCTGTGTTGCCCCACATGGGTACAAAAGCACAAGAACAAAGTAGAAGGAAGTAAGGAACAAAGTTAAAAGTTAAACATTACAGTTGCTGTTAGTATATCGTTTAAAAAAGATAAAAGTTAAACATTATAGTTTCTTAGTATTGATTCAAAAAATAAAGAAATAAAGCTAAAAGTTCAACCATTGCAATCTTTCTTAAGTAGTCCTATGCTGGGAAAACACTTCCTACAATGGATTGATCTCCTCTGCTTTGGCATGCTTTTCCCACACTGGCTCGATCTCCCTTGCTCTTGTTGCTGCAGATATCAGGGGAACCTCCATTGCCCGTGTTGGTCTTGCTTCTGGGATCTCAGACCACCAAAGCCCCGGTCCAGGCCTTCAGCTGCTGCCACACATTAGACCATCAAAGCCCTGATCCTGGCCTTAGCCTCACCTTTGGTTCACATGCTGGGTATCTGGAACTCACCAAGATTCCTGGGTCAGGCTCCTGCAGTGGGCATCGACTCGACTGCCAAATTCAGTGACCCCGATACTACTACTACTGCTGCCTCTCTCCAGAAGGTAAGATAGTAGAAAAAAGGTAAGATAGTAGAAAAACACTAAAACTAAAAAGAAGAAAGAAAAAACAAGAAGAGAAGAAAAAAGGAAAGGAAGAAGAAAAGTGGATGATCCTACTCTGCTGCCATCTTACAGAAATGCTTTCTTGTGCAAACACTATTATCAAGAACCTAACTCTGATTTTAACATTGATTCCTTTCTGAAACTGCTTCATTTAAGGTTATTTCACTTAAAGTCACAATTTTCTGGAACACAGCCGGTAAGTGAGGAGACCCTGCACTTGGAAATTGTGTCTGTAAATTATGGATGAGATGAAGTCTCCATTGTCTTTTGTCTATCCGTTTTACATAATAGGAAGGAATCTGAGCCACTTGTATCCAATGTACCAGTTACAGAGCAGTATTATTAGAGGCAGGGAGCAGTTTATCCATTTGTCCCATTTCCAGAAAGGGTGGAGGAGAACAGGAGCCCAAAGTAGTAATAACAATAATATTAATATTAAATATTAAATTCTGACCTTTGACCCTGATGTCCACATCCTTCTTATCACTTCCATATTGATTGGTAGCTCTACATTTATAAATTCCTTGATGTTCTGAGGTTACGTATGGAATATGCAGAAATCCAGGACCAATCTCAATGTCGCTGCCATTACTGGGGTTTACCCACTCTAATGTAGGTGAGGGTCTTCCATTGGACGTACAGCTTAATGTAATTTCATCACCTTTAGTGACTTCTACTGGAAAGCCTGACATTGTTTTGTCATTTACTGATACGGTCGTGATTGTGTCTCGTGGTTTATCTGGAAAAGAGAAGAAAAAGATGAAAATAGGCAGGCATACCCACAGGATCACTGATACAGCTCCCCAACACTGCTTCAATTAGCAGGATGTCCAAACTCAGCCACATATTGTGCTCTTATCTATCTTCCAACAGTCATTTCAGAACAGGTGAATCTCTGCAGTTGCAGCCTTCAGCTTACTCACAGTCATATGTTGTTTTGATGTACGGTCACAGTGAAATGCAGTCATTGTGTAAATATTAATTCAGCATCACAAACACTGGATTTGACAGTCTAAGGATATCACACAGTGTTCACTGTTCTCACTGTAATGGAAGATTCAAACGTACAATTTCCTGTAATCTGATACTCACACAAAATGGTTACATTTAGAGATAAGGTCTTTAATCCATGCTCATTTTTGACCATGCACACGTACAGTCCAACATGCTGTATTTGAACAGACGGGATGGAGAGTAACTCTCTGCTTTCTATTTTTCCATCTTTGATCCAGACCCTCTGGGGAACTGGGTTTCCTTGCCCATGACATGTTAAATTCTGTGATTCCCCCTCAATCCAATTTTATTGAGCTTTAAAGATCTCTGCTTTTAATGGTGCATCTGTAAAATTCATTCGAAGTAAAAATTAAGTCATGATACTGAACGACTGCAAATTCGAATATTTTTCAAATTCTTCTGCTATTTCTTTCGAGTGCTCTGCAGATGTCATTGTTCAGAATAAAACTTGCTTCTGTTTTGAAACCCATTGTCAGTGTCAAACAGCAGGAGGAGAAATAAAACACAGGATAAAAGGCAGAATAACTTTCCCTGAAATCTGTGAAAATGCAACATTCTGAATGCGCCTTTTGAGAAATTTCCAAATTATTTTGACTTTCTGTTGGGGTCCTGAGTAACTGAGGAAAAGAATTACAAATACATTTCAGAGATGAGGGTTACCCTAACACAGTAATTATAATAGGGGTACTTAAGTATCAGGATATTGACTGGGATAGGGGTAATACAAAGAGCTGCCATGGGAAAGCATTCCTAGACTGTGTTCAGGAGAATTTTCTCCAGCAATAAGTGTCCAGACCACTGAGAAAGGAGGCACTGCTCAACCTGTTCTTGGGAATGGGCCAAAAGGTGCAAGTGTCAGTGGGAGAACATTGAGGGCACAGTGATCATTGTATCATCAGGACAATGGCAGAAAATGACATTGGCCACTGCAGAGTAAGAATATTCAACTGGAGGAGAGTGGACTTCAACAGGGCAAGAAAAGAACAGGGCCGAATGAACGAGAACCAAAGGTTCATGAGAAAATCAATAGCTGAACAATGAACTGCCTTCAAAGACGAAATGGTTTGGGCACAGTCAAGGTAAATTCCCACAAACGGGCAAAGGGAGGCAAACAAATGCAAAGCTCCCTTGATGTCAAACGAGATGGAAATTCAGTAAGAAAGTGTGTTTATGATACATGTCAGGTCGTAATTACAGTTGAGAATCAAATACAATACAGAAGGCTCAGAAGTGATGTGAAAAAGCAAAATGAGAAACAGTGATTGTGTGGACTGGCATTTAACATTAAAAAAAAATCTGAATGTCTCCCACAAGCACATCTGCAACAAGAGGGTGGTGAAAGGAGGATTAGGGACCATAAAAGAGATTAACATTTAGGGGCAAGTGGCATAGCTGAGATATGAAACTAATTTTCCATATCTGTCTTTACCAAAGAGGTAGATGCTGCCCAGGCCATGGTGACAGGGGAGGAACCTCAGTCACTGAGAATGGATTATATTTGACATAGTGGAATGTTTGGATAAGCTCTCAGTACGTAGAGTTGAAAAGGCTTGGGACTAGACCAAATACTTCTAAGGACATTAAAGGAAGTGAGAATGGAAATTACAGAGGCAATCGCAATAATCCTTCAATCTTGCCTGGAGTTGAGGTCAGTGCAGGAGGAATTTAGAATTGGAAATCTTCTCCAAAAAGGTTGTAAAGATTGAACCAGCAATAGCAGACCAATCAGTTAAACTTCAAAAATTGGAACACTCTGAGAAACAATTACTCACAAGAGAGTCTAAATGGATGTTTTTAGGGGTAACAATGTGTAGAGCTGGATGAACACAGCAGGCCAAGCAGCAGCAGAGGAGCAGGAAGGCTGATGTTTCGGGCCTAGACCCTTCTTCAGAAAATCTTTTTAGGGGGTCACTTTAGCTCAGTTGGCTGCATGGTTGGTTTGCGAAGCAGTGTGATACTAACAGTGTGGGTTCAATTCCCATCACCAACTGAGGTTACTGTGAAGGAGTCTCCTTCTCAGCCTTTCCCCTCACCTGAGATGTGATGACCCTCAAGGTAAATCACCACTAGCCATCTATCTCTAAGGACAGAGCGGCTCTATGGTCCTATAAGACGATGTTGACACAGTAATGACGACAAAAATATTAAGGGAAAGTCATGTCGAACTAACTTGGAGTTGTTTAAAGATTCTAACAGAAACAGTTGATGAGGATAAGGCTGCTGATGTGTTGTACAGGCTTCCAAAAGGTGTTTGATACTGTCCCACACAACAAGATGTTTGAGCAAAGTGATAGGTTATGGTATAAGAGCAAATGTACAAATGTGGATACAAAATACTCAGTGATAGGAAACAGAGAGTAACAGTCAATGAATACTTTTCAGGCTGGAAGGCTTGTGGTAGAGTTCCTCAAGGGGTCATATAAACATCTCTAATTTTGTGGTTGTTAATGTCCTAGATTTTGTTGTGCAGGAGGCAATTCCAAAATTAGCTAATGACACAAAATGTGGAAGCATTGTAAACTGAGAGGAGGACATTGTTATGGTCATTTACAAGGGGTGGAGTGGGCAAGTAGGTGACAGAGGCAGTGGCGCAGTGTTATACAGTCAGCAGGGATTGTCTTGGGAGGCTTCAACAGTGACCCTGGACCCCACAAAGTGACATGACATGAGGTCAGACATGGACAAGGAAACCTCCTGCTGTTTACCATGAACCATTCCCCCCTCCCCTGCAGTTCTGAATTTGTACTTCTCCATGTTGAACATAATTTAGAGGAAGCAATGAGGGTGACCGATACAGAATTTACTGTGGTTAGGAGACTTCAATGTCCATTGATAAGAGTGAGTTAGCAGCACCAACACCGACTGAGCTGGTCGAGTACTAAAGGACATAGCTGCTAGACTGGGTCCGCGGCAAGTCAAGAGAGAACCAACAAGAGGGACAAGCAAACTTGACCTCATCCCCACCAATTTGCCAGCTGCACATGTATTCAGCCAGGGCAGTATTAGTAGAAGTGACCACCACACAGTTCTAAGAGGTAAAATTGTGTTTCACATTGAGGATTGTGTTATATTGATCCATCACTTTGCTAAGTGGGTTAGACTTTGAACAGATCTAGTAACTCAAGACTGAACTTTCAGGAGGTGCTGAGAGCCATCAGCTACAGCTGAGCTGTACTTAGCCACAAGAATGTTATAAAATTACTCTTGTCTTGGACCCTCTCCCCAATGGATCAAGAACTTGTGCTGCTAAGCTTGGGTGGTAACCAGAGTGCTATAGTTTCCCCACGTTAAAAGAGCTCTCGCACAGGCACCTTCCACACCCTCAGGATAAAGTTCTGGCTGGTGAGCCTTACTTCAGTGGTAGGGAAATTATTGGAGAGGATTCTTGGAGACAGGATTTACTCCCACTTGGAAATAAGTGGGCATATTAGCGAGAGGCAACATGGTTTTTGTGACGGGGAGGTTGTGTCTCACTAACTTGGTTGAATTTTTTGAGGAAGTGATGAAGATGATCGATGAGGGTAGGGCAGTGGATGTTGTCTGCATGGATTTCAATCAGGCCTTTGACGAGGTCCCCCATGGCAGGCTGATACAGAAGGTAAAGTCACACGGGTTCAGGGGTGAGCTTGCAAGATGGATAAAAAAAAACTGGCTCAGTCATAGAAGACAGAGGGTAACAGTGGAAGGGTGTGTTTCTAAATGGAAGGCTGTGACTAGTGGCATTCCTCAGGGATCAGTGTTGGGACCTTTGCCATTTATAATATATATAAATGATTTGGTGAAAAATGTATCTGGTCTAATTAGTAATTTTGCCGATGACATAAAGGTTGGTGGAATTGAGGATAGTGATGGGGACCGTCAAAGGATACAGCTGGATATAGATCGGTTGGTGACTTGGGCAGTGAGATGGCAGATGGAGTTTAATCTGGAAAAATGTGAGGTAATGCATTTTGAAAGGTCTAATCCAGATGGAAAATACACAGTAAATGGCAGAACCCTTAAGAGTACTGATCGGCAGAGAGATCTGGGTATACAGATACACAGGTCACTGAAAGTGGCAATGCAGGTGGAAAAGGTAATGAACAAGGCATATGGCATGCTTGCCTTCATCGGCCGGGGCATTGAGTTTAAAAATTGGCAGATAATGTTGCAGCTTTATAGAACCTTAGTTAGGCTGCATTTGGAATATTGTGTTCAATTCTGGTCGCCACACCACCAGAAGGATGTGGTGGCTTTGGAGAGAGTACAGAAAAGATTTACCAGGATGTTGCCTGGTATGGAGGGCATTAGCTATGAGGAGAGGTTGGAGAAACTTGGGTTGTTCTCACTGGAACGATGGAGGTTGAGGGGCGACCTGATAAAGGTCTACAAGATTATGAAGGGCGTAGACAGAGTGGACAGTTGGAAGCATTTTCCCAGGGTGGAAGAGTCAGTTACCAGGGACTGTGGGTTTAAGGTGCGAGGAGCAAGGTTTAAGGTGATGTACGAGGCAAGTTTTTTTTTTAAATAAAGAAGATGGTGGGTGCCTGGAACTCGCTGTCAGGGGAGGTAGTGGAAGCAGATAGTATGGTTACTTTTAAAGGGCATTTTGACAAATACATGAATAGGATGGGAATAGAGGGATACGGTCCCCGGAAGGCGAGGGGGTTATAGTTGTGATGGGCAGCATGTCGGTGGAGGCTTGGAGGGCCAAAGGGCCTGTTTCTGTACTGTAATTTTCTTTGTTCTTTGTTCTTTGTTCTTGACCTGCAGTTTCAAGTTCTGGACCTGGAATGTCAGGACCGTTATGGACAGTCCCATCAGTGACATACCAGAATGTCTCACTGCTATTATTGCTCAGGAAGTCGGGTGCTTTGATATTGACATCGCTGCTCTGAGTGAAACCCAGCGGGTAGGGGAAGGGACAGCTCAGAGAACAAGGTGGTGGCTCCAACTTCTTCTGGAAAGGCAAGGCTGAAGAAGAGTGCCACATCCATGGAGTTAGCTCTGCCATCAAAAACAAACCGGTGGACCAACTGAAAGACTCCCCGAGTGGAATAAGTGAGCATGACACTCTGATTCACCCTTGCTCGGAACCAGTATGTCACAGTATTCAGCGCATTTGCACCAACACTCGAAGCAGCAGCTGAGGACAAGGAGTAATTCTCCGCCAGCCTTGACCAATCTCTCTCATGGGTCCCAACAGCGTCCTCGGTGACTTCAATGCCAGATTTGGCAAAAGTACAGACCTTAGGGGAAGCAAAACTCCAACATCACTCTTCTCCTGACCCAGTGCCATGAGTACGACCTTCTCATCATCAACACACTGTTCCAGCAAAGGGACAAATACAAGACAATGTGGCAGCAGCTGTGTTCCAAACACTGGCACCTCCCTGATTACATCATCGTCAGAGCGAGGGATTGGAAACACGTCAAAATCACACGCGCCATGACCACAGCTGATCAATGATGGATGGACCATTGTCTGATCCGAGTCAGGATCGTCATAAATATAGCCCGCTGCAGCGGAGTCAACAGAAGCAGTGTTGCAACAAGTTCAACATTGAGGCACTTAAAGACCCAGAAAGAAACAGCCTCATACAACCAACTTGTCTCCACAAACCTAGCCACCTTTGGCAACACCAAGTCACAGGATTCCCAACAGTCTCTGCTCTGCCCTTAAGACCGCCATCATCATTGCCTGCAAAATCTCGGTCAGCCACTCAACCAGGAAACACCAAGACTGCTTCGATGAGAATGATCAGGAGATTAAGGAACGATCAAGTTGGAAGTGCATGGCCTTTCTGAGTGTAAAACAACCGCACTCGGAAGAGAAAAGGCAGGCTTACATGTGACTGAAGGCTGAGACACCACACCTAACCCACGATATAAAGAACAGGTGGTGGGTGGAGAAAGCACTGGAGGCCCAATAAATGGCCAACAGCCGTGACATGCAGGGTTTCATCTGTGCTGTCAAGACCACATCAAGGCCCCACCCCACTGCTGGCCAAGGATGGAGTGACTCTTATCAAAGATAGAGAAGCCCATCAAAAAACACTGTGGGGGGGTACACTTCACTGACTTCCTCAACCAGGGCTCTGTCGTCAATCTGAGTGTCTTTGACTGCATCCCACAGCATGCTACACACCATGATTTCAGCAATACCCCAGCCGTGCACACAGTAGAGAGAGGTGCCCGCCAGCTTAAGAACAACAGGACTGCTGGAGCAGACGGTAACCCCCCGCTGAGGCATTGAAGTGCAGGGGTAAAGAGTTCTTACTGCAGCTACATGCCCTTGTCTGCCTTATCTGGAAGGAGGAGAACATCCCAGGAGAGCTCTGAGATGCCACAGTCGTGAGCATTTTCAAAAAAGGGCACAAGTCTGACTGTGGTAACTACAGGGCACTCTCCCTGCTGTTGATGCCAAGGTCCTCCTGAACTGTCTCCTCCCTGTGGCTGAGAAACTCCTCCCGGGAGACTCAGTGTGTGGCTTTCGGCCATGGAGGGGCACAGTGTGCATGATTCTCACTGTGTAACAGCTACAGGAGAAATGCAGAGAATAGAACCTACCCGTGTAGGTGCTGCCTTTCACCTTACAAAGGCCTTTCACACCATCAATCGGGAAGCATTATGAATGTCCTTCTCCACTTTGGTTGTACCATGAAGTTAGTCACCGTCCCTTTCCCGCTCTGCGATGACATGGAAATCATTCGCCCAAGACTGTCCAAAGTGGAAGAGGAGCAATTGGGAAGGCATTGAACACCTCGAGACTTGTGTTGTTAAAAAATGGAAGCTGGGTGTAAACAGTGAAAAGAGAGTGTGCAGTCACACCAATGCCTGACCCACCCCTTCCTCTGGCCACCACCTCCCAGAGAGCGGAAGAATGTTATCCTCATCATCTAAGGACCACCAATGATGATGATGATGGGTAGCATGTTGTGGGATGTGTTCGAGGGCACTCGCCTCCATGGTTACACTTCAGAAAGGAGGTGATGGTCTGGAAGATGATGTAGAAGAGAGTCATGATAATGGGACAAGGGATGAGGGACTTCCCTTATGTGGAAGCAATGTAAAGGTTTGGATTGTGCCATTCAAACAGTGAGGGCCAAGAGGGGTTCTCTCAGACATCTCCAAGGTGATGAACCAATTGTGGACAAATAAGGAGGAGTTTTCAGTGGCAAAAGGATTGATAATTATCAGACACAGATTTCAGGTGATTAGAAAAGGAACAAAGTGAGATGTGATTGCTTTTTCAAAGAAAGCATTTGATTGTTTTCTCGAATGAACTGCCTGTAATGATGGTGGAAGCAGATGCACTAGTGACTGTCATCAGGGAGAGAGACAAATATTTGAAGGAGAAACACTACAGTGTACACGCTCACAAAGTTACAGTTTGTGGCACACTGCACTGGGGTAATAATGGACAGCGCCCTCACCTCGGGATCTCTGTCCCTTTGGCCTCAGTGAGAAAAGGAGCTGCTGCAGGGCAGTCTCTGTGTGAGGAGACCAAATCAATTTGGTTAGGACTAAGACAAGAGTTGGTATGAGAATTTCACTGGTGTCCATTTGGAAAAAAAATCCCAATGACCTTTCGTGAGGTAAATAATGCTACTTACACAGGACATGGAGGGTTCCAATCTGTTGTTTAATAACAGGGCTGGTCATTGACTGATCTTGAAGTTTCAGTTCAGCCTCACAGATATACTGCTGTCCATTCAGCTTTGCTTGAGCCTGTACTGTATGAGAGATAGTGAGCCCAGTACTGCTTGATCCATTCTTTAATATGTCATTTTCTTTCTTCAGTCTGAGTTCAAGATCCCTTGAGACATTTAACACACGGCACGTAATGTTAACCAGATTTCCTTCATGGCTGGTTGGTATTTGGATTTCAGGGGAAGAGAAAACTAAAAACAACAGAAAGATACTGTTAGAAACATTCCTTTATCATATTATATTGACTGGTTCCCTTTTATCTATTCTGCTTGTTAAATCCTCAAAAGAACTGTAATAAATTAGTCTGCCATGATTCCCCTTCATGGGCCATGCAGAAGCTGCTTGATTATACTGTGTCTTTCTAAATGCTCTGCTATTACGTCGTTCAGATTAGACCCCTTTAAACATTTTCCCCATTCACGGATGTTAGAACTGGCCTGTGGTTATCTATTTTTACCTTCCACCTTGGTTAAGTAAATGTGTTACAATGGAAGCTTTTCAATCCTCTGGCCTTTTCCAGAATGTAGCGTTCTTGGAAAATTGCTACCAGTAGATTCACTATCTCTGCAGCTACATCGTTTATAATCCCAGAATGCATTCCATCAGACCCATTATTTTCTCCAGTACTTTTCCTCGAGTGTTAATTATTGTGTTTATTTCCTGACTTGCCACCCCTTTAACCCTGTTGATTATGTAGCACTTTTATATAATGAGGCAAAGAGAGGCAGCGCTCAGTGGTTATTGTTTACTGTCCATTTTACTGCTGCTTCAAGGACAGGTACAAAGACCCGCAGCATCATTCCGTGTTCCCTCGGGATCCTGGTCAGCATTCTTTCCTGACCCAAAACCACCAAGACTGTTTCTCTTAGTCCTGCTGTTTGTATATGCTGTACATAAAAAGCAGGGCAAATCCAACCCAGTCAATTCCTGCCGCATCAGTTTCCTCTCGATCATTAGTAAAGTGATAGAAGGTGTCACTGACAGCACTATCGAGCAGGACTTGCTCAGCAATAACCTGCTCAGTGATGCCCAGTTTGGGTTTTGTCAGGGCCACTCAGCTCCTGACCTCATTACAGCCTTGGTTCAAACATGGACAAAAGAGCTGAATTCCAGAGATGAGGCTAGCGTGACAACCCTTGACAGCAAGTTTGCTTTTGACTGAGTGTGCTATCAAAGATGTGGTTGTTGGAGGATAGACATTTCTACTCCAGGAATTCCCCAGGGTAGTGTCCTAGGCCCAACCAAGTTCAGCTGCTTCATCAATGACTTTCCTTCCACCATAAGGTGAGAAATGAGGATGTACTGAGGATTACTCGATGTCATCACCATTGGCAACACCTCAGGACTTGAAACAATCCATGATCAAATGCAACAATATCCAGACTTGGACTGACCAGTGACACATTTGTACAACACAAATGCCAGGGAATGATCATCTCCAAGAAGCAACAATCCAACCACTGCCGCTTGACATTTAATGGCATCATTATCACTGCATCCCCCACTAACAACATCCCAGGGGTTACCATTGACCAGAAACTAACCTGAACTCACCATACAAATACTGTGGCCACAGGAGCAGTCAGAGACTTGGAAAACTGCGATGAGTAACTCACCTCCTGACTCCCCAAAGTGTGTCCGCCATCTACAAGGCACTAACCAGGAGTGTGATGGAATACTCATCACTTGCCTGGATGAGTGCAGCTCGGGTAACACCCAAGAAGCTTGACACCATACATTGATGAGGCTAGTGCAGTTTCTGTGTTTACACGAACTTTAGTAAGGCCTTTCAAAAGGTCCCACATAGAAGGCTTCTCCAAAAAGTAACAGCCAAAGTGATCTAAGGAAGTTGACAAACAGGATCCAACATTGGTTTGCAAATAGGACACAAACGATGATAGTAGAGGGATGGTTTTGTGATTGGAAGCCTGTGACCATATCAATCAGTGCTGGGATTCTTGCTGTTCATTATGTACATAAACAACTTGGATGTGCATACAGAAGGTATAATTTTAAGTTTGCTGATGATATGAAAATTGGTGGTGTTATTGATAGTGAGGAGGATGGTCTCAGGATACAATCTGATATTGATTAACTGGTAAATTAGGCAGAGAAATGGTGCATGGAAATTAATCTTGATGAGTGTCCAACATGGGAAAGACATACACAATGAATGGTAGGCCCTGAGGGAATTCTGAAGAACAGAGGGACCTTGGTTACAAATCCATAGATTCCTGAAGTTATCCGCGCAGGTAGACAGGGTGGTAAAGAAGGCATACAGGATACATGCCTACATTTGATGTGGAATGTAGGAGCAAGGAAGTCTTGTTCCATCTTCATGAAACATTGATTAGGCCTCAGATAGAATACTGTCTGCAGTTCTGGTTGCGACACTATCAGAAAGATGTGATTGCACTGGAGGGGATGCAGAGGAGATTCACCAGGATGTTGTCTGGGAAGGAAAGGCTCAGTTATGAGGAGAGACTGGATAGGCTGGGTTTATTTTCCCCACAGCAGAGGAAGCTGAGGGAGGTCGTGATTGAGGGAGACAAAATTACGAGAGGCAGAAGGGCCTGTTTCTATGCTGTATGACTCCATGAACATCCAGAGCAAAGCAGCCTACTTGATTGGCAGAAGGTTAATTCTGATGAAGGCTCACTGGACCTGAAATGTTGACTCTCTTTCTCTCCACAGATGCGGCTGAATTTCTCCAGCAATTTCTGGCTTTGCTTGTGATAGCTGCCCAATTCATTGGCACTACATCCACAAACATTCATTCCCTCCACCACTGCTCTGTATCAGCAGTGTGTACTGTCTCTAGGATGCACTGCAGAAATTCACCCAAGATCCTTAGACAGCACCTTCCAAATCCATGATCACGTTTTTTTTTTCCGCTATTCATTTCGTAGGATGTGGGCGTCGCTGGCTGGCCAGCATTTCTTGCCCATCCCTAGTTGCTCTTGAGAAGGTGGTGGTGAGCTGCCTTCTTGAACCGCTGCATTCCTCCTGCTGTGGGTTGTCCACAATAGTATTAGGGAGGGAATTCCAGGCTTTTGACCCAGCGACAGTGAAGGAACGGCGATATATTTCCAAGTCAGGATGGTGAGTGACTTGGAAGGGAACTTGGAGGTGGTGGTGTTCCCACATATCTGCTGCCCTTGATCTTCCAGATGGAAGTGGTCGTGGGTTTGGAAGGTGCTGTCTGAGGATCTTTGGTGAATTTCTGCAGTGTATCTTGTAGATAGTACACACTGCTGCTACTGAGTGTCGGTGGTGGAGGGAGTGAATGTTTGTAAATGCAGTGCCAATCAAGCCAGCTGCTTTGTCCTGGATGGTGTTAAGCTTCTTGAGTGTTGTTGAAGCTGCACTCATCCAGGCAAGTGGGGAGTATTCCATCACACTCCTGACTTGTGCTTTGTAGATGGTGGACAGGCTTTGAGGTGTCGGGAGGTTAGTTACTCGCCGCAGTATTCCCAGCTTCTGGCCTGCTCTTGTAGCCACTGTGTTAATGTGGTGAGTCCAGTTGAGTTTCTGGTGAATGGTAACCCCAGGATGTTGATAGTGGGGGATTCAGTGATGGTAACGCCATTGAATGTCAAGGGGCGGTGGTTAGATTGTCTCTTATTGGTGATGGTCTTAGCCTGGCATTTGTGTGGCGTGAATGTCACTTGCCACTTGTCAGCCCAAGCCTGGGTATTGTCCACATCTTGTTGCATGTGAACATGCACTGCTTCATTATCTGAGGAGTCACAAATGGTGCTGAACATTGTGCAATCATTGGTGAACATCCCCACCTCTGACCTTATGATGGAGGGAAGGTCATTGATGGAGCAGCTGAAGATGGTTGGGCCGAGGACACTACCTTGAGGAACTCTGCAGAGATGTCCTGGAGCTGAGATGATTGACCTCCCACAACCACGACCATCTTCCTATGTGTCAGGTATGACTGCAACCACCGCAGCCTTTGCCCCCTGATACCCATTGATTCCAGTTTTGCCAGGACTCCTTGATGCCACACTCGGTCGAATGCAGCCTTGATATCAAGGGCTGTTACTCTCACCTCACCTCTGGAATTTAGCTCTTTGTCTATGTTTGAACGAAGGCTGTAATGAGGTCAGGAGCTGAGTGGCCCTGGTGGAATCCAAACTGGGCATCGCTGAGCAGGTTATTGCTGAGCAGGTGCTGCTTGATAGCGCTGTTGATGACACCTTCCATCACTTTACAATGATTGAGAGGAGATTGATGGGGCGGTAATTGGCCGGGTTGGATTTGTCCTGCTTTTTATGTACAGGACATACTTGGGCCATTTTCCACATTGTCGGGTAGATCACTTCCATTTAGAAGGACAACGGCAGCTCATACATGGGAACGGTACCATATGCATGCCTGCCTCCAAGCTATTCACCATGCTGACTTTGAAAGATATTACCATTCCTTCACTGTCACTAGGTTACAATCCAGGAACACTGTCCCCCACGCTCCCCCCATTGCATTGTGGGTCACCCTACAGCTCACCACCACTTTCTCAAGGGCAACTAGAGATACACAATAAATGTTGCCCAGCTAGTGACACCTAGTGCATAAAAGAAAACAATCCTGCAATCTCATTTATTTAACCTTTTCTCAGGATTTTGGTAACACTGGAAGATCCGCATTTAACATCTGTCCTTGGTGAGTTTACTGTAAGTGGTTCACTCCAGAGGATATGTGCTAAGGAAACAGTGGAACTGCTCCTTGGAGATAATTCTCTAGCTGTGAAACACTTTGAGAATTCCTGAGAATGAGAAAGGGACTACAGGAATGTACAATTCTTCTTTCATTTGGTCTTGTGGTAACTTGTGTTTGCAACTTTTGAAATGACATTCGTCATTATTGAAGAATAGACAGTGGTCAATGTATTTACTGGTAGCTGCTTCTCAGGAGGTATCATTCTGGATGAACGTTCCATTTTGTCAGCACCCAGTTTAACATTCCATGTTGCATGCAACTGTCACACCCACTGTCTAAGGGTAGGCAGCAATATTTCCTCTGATGTCTGTTGCTATGTGTGGCCTATATGTTTCAATGATTGCTCCTTTAAAATTCTTGCAAAAACACAAATCTTGAAGAGAATGTTGTTTGTGCTGGCCTGTTTCTTCCCATACGATATATTCCAGATTGGTGTGTGTTTTTGCATTTTGCAGTGTTTAGGGAACATTGCCAGTTTCAACCTTTAAACATTCTCTTGTGATCCTGGAATACTAAGTGTGAGTAACACTCCCCTATGAGCAGCGAATACAGTGTCACTCACATGGTCTCAAGATCTTGGAATACCTCGGATCAGTAAGACTTTCTCCGAATGGTTTTCATTGACAGAGGATCATTTCACCCCACAAGCAAATGTTTATGTTTTACTCAAACCAAGTGTCTGAGTGTACAAACGTTTCAACAAGCTTCCCAATTTGTCATTCAACAAAAAGGATTTTATTGTTTAAAGTGATGAAATTCTGACACGTTGTAATGTTGACAGTGATTAACTATTAGAATGTTGCCGGATGGTAAGCACCCCACCCCACCCCACCCCCCACAACCAGAATCCTTACCATACACCTCAATGAAAACACTGTTATTCTTTGAGGGAACCGATGGATACTTCTCAAAATCAGCCATACAGACAACTTCGATCAGACCAGTTTCCTGTGGTGTCCATGCTGCTGTTGTTCGGACAGTGTTAGAATTTGGCCTTGTGGTAACTGAGTTCAGTTCCTCACCATCCTGAAACCATCTTACTCTCACCTTCTCAACTGGATAGACATTTGAGACCTCACATATTAAATTGACCTTTTGCTTCACTTTTTTGGGCCTTTTGTCCAGGATTCTAGGCTGCTCCATGAAAGCTGTAATACAGACAAGAAATTCGGTTCATTTTAATTTTCTGCAGTGTGTTTTAGTTTTTAATGGACAGTGTGGAAAACTGAGCAGTGCAGGTATTGGACAATACATCACACCAGGAATTTATCACATTCACCCATAGTGAGGAAACTGGAGTCATCTGCAGTCATCTCACCGCTTTTATTTTCAAATTAATTCTTGTTACCTTTCAGGCACTTCAAATATTAAGTCTGTTTCTTGCGTGCCAGTCACTCTTAGTGGTCCATGTCAATGCACTCCTGATTTAGCTTCACTGTGTTCTTACTTGCATCTGTCTATAACATCCCAATTGAGGTTAGGATTTCAGTGTTCGTGATCTAGGTATGAATCTGTGAAGTTTTCTTTGCCCTTCCTGTATCATGAGATTTTCTAAACTGTTTATAATCCCATCTCCTGATCACTGAGTGATGTTTAAGGCAGCTGGGTGAAATTCCTTTCAAAATACCTGCCACTGTCAGGAAACTGCTGGCTCCCCTGTGACTACCACAACCACCCGGGGCTCCTGTAAGCAGAAAGAGTGCACGTTAGGGCACTTTAAACAGTGGAATGTCTGCCATGTCAGAAAATCCTCCAACTTGAGCTCTCCGCTTCAAAGATGGAGAATCAAGATTTATGGGAATGGGTAAGGACATGGAGCTACAGTCAAAGATTAGTCATTGAATAGCAGAGTAGGCTCAAGGTGCCGAATGGTGTATTCCCCCACCTGTTCCTTATGTTTCTCTGCCTTGCAATGACTTTATTGACCTTTTTTGAACCAGTTTTTTGCACACCCTGCGGCTGTAGAACACTTATAATTACACCATGAACTGATCATATAGTCATACAGCAAGGAAACAGAACAGGTTTCTTTAACTGAATTACTCCCATTTGCCTGCATTTGGTCCATATCCCTCTAAACCTTTCATGTTCTAATGTCTTTTAAATGTTGTATTTGTACCCTTCTCTACCACTGAAAAAGTTGCATGTTTGCATCATTATCCAGGATGAGCAATTTTTACCCATCACATTTTGTACTGGAGATGAAATAGGAACTAATGAGAAGTTTATCTCTATATTGCTTCCCATTGGTTATTCTCAACAAATTATAGGTATTAAATCTATGGTATTCTCTAAATGAGGAGAGTGTTTCTTGTGCAGTTGGAACTTACAGTAGGTTTGCAGAGTGACACAGGAGTTTGTGATTGACATTGTGGTGTTAGAGCCCAAGTCCACTTCAGCCAAGCAGGTGTACTCCTGTCCATCATCTGACAGACTTGCGGTGAAATTGAAGACATTTCTCAACCTGTTATCTTCATCTGGAAGACCTGGTTCTTCTGTAGAACTTCTCTGAACAATCTCACTCCCTCTCATCCATGTGAGAATGAGTTTGTTGTTTGGATAGACTCTTGGTCCAATGCACTCCAGACTATATCTTCTGTTAACCTCCAGCACTTCAGGGAGCAATGTAATGTTTATCTCTCGATCTGTTAAAGGAGAATCACAGTTAACAGGATTCACAGAAATAGTGTGCTTAAAGTTTCAGGCCTTCACTTGGTGCAGGTCAGGAATCGAATTGGACTAACCAGTGTACAGCTTCCCAACATTTTGTCAACTCCAGCAGGTAGCCTGAACTATGTATGGACCCAGTAGGAATCCCAACCCTCCTCTGCAGCTACCAATTAGACTCATTCATACCCTTGTTAAGGGGAAATAGGAGGCTGTTTGGGATTTTCCATTCAGCCTCCAGTTTCCCAACACAACAGAGACTGATGAACTGCCTGGAAGCAGACCAGGCTACCAGTTCTCAAGGCAGCCTGTGGGCCTTCATGCCTGCCTAAGTGCAGGTCCAGTTGAAGACTGCCATGTGGAAAGGTTCTCCCTGCAATGGTGTTGGATGAGCTGCTTTCTCTTGTTTTTCGTCCTTTTTTTCAAAATTGCTGAAGCTGTAGAAGTGAGGAAGTGGCGGTGTAGTGGTACTGTCACTGAACTGACAATGCTCTGGGGACATGAATTAAATCCCACCATGGCAGCTGGTGCAATTAAATTCAATTGAAATCTTCTCTAATGACGATAATTATGAAGAAACCGTTATTGATTGTCATAAAAACCCGTCTGATTTACTAATCTGGTTAGGAAAAGAAATCTGCTGTCTTTATCTGGTCTGACCTACAGGCGACTCTTCAATTCCATTTGAATGGCCTTGCAAGTTACTCAGCAGGATCAGTTATCATGGTGTTGTAACACAGGAAATGACAAATGCAAACCGAGCCCTCTCAACACCTCAAAATTCTAAATGCTAACAACTATGGACTAGTAAATTTGGGCTCGCTGTCTCACAGACGAGTCAAGTCAAACTCTTGGAATATCTTACAGGTAATGCCGCAAAAGACAGCATCACCATCCCTGGTTATGATTGTCCAACTGGTAAGACACGCAAGCAGGAGTTTCCCTCAGAATCCTCAACACTAACTCTGGACTCCAGGAAGTCTCATAGCATCAGATAAAATGTGGGTAAGGAATCCTTCTACTGATTATCACTGCACCCCTTGTTCAGCTGATGAATCAGTACTGCTCTATTTGAATACAATTGGTCGAAGCACTGAGGGTAGCAAGGGCACACAATGCACTGTGGGTGCCCAAATTTAGAGTCCATTACCAGGAGTATCTCAGTATCACTACTATTGATTGAGCTGGCTGAGTTTTAAAGGCCATAATTGCCAGGTTGGTTCTTCAGTAGGTTGTATGGGAACCGAGAAGATACAAAATCATACTTGACTTTGTCTCCACCAATTTACCTGTCTCAGATGTACTAGTCAATGACAGTATCGGTGGAAGTGACTGACACATAGTCCCTGTGGAGATTCACTCCAATTTTCACACTGTCAGAACTCTGCGAGGTAGTGCACAGGAAATCAGGCCTCACTATACCCAGAATCATCACAAGTTACAGCTATCGTATTGAAGTTAGGTATAAATTTGTAATAAAGCCCACATATTCCTTAAAATCTCCTAATTCCCCATTCTGTTTTAGGATTGAGGGATTCAATCAGATCCTTCACTTACGCTGTTCCTGGCAATATTTACCCTGGCTCTATGATATATCCCAAGTAAGTTACCTTTTGCTTTTGTGAATTCAGTTTTGGCTAGATTTATTACTAAACCAGCTGACTACAATTGCTTAAAACAGGTCCTCTAACTACCTTACATGATCTTCCCATGTATATTACAATATTGTCTAAGAAAACTGCAGGTACTTTAGCTATGACTTGATGCAAAAGTCTTTGGAATGTAACTGGGGCCATTTAAAACCCAGATAAGTAACTTTACTAACTGACTTAACAAGTTTCTATCGGCCACTGAATGTTGTTTTCAGAGGTTCATCCTCTTTAAGCATACAAATACCTTTTATCCTGCTTGAAATTAACTAATGTTCTGTTGACAACATGCTTATCTGCCCATTCTTTTCATAATTTCCTGAGAGGTGTTTAAATGCTGCTGCATAACATTATATCCTCCTGTAAGATCTGTTGAAACATGGACATATAATCCAACAGTGACCATTCATCTTTTGTCTTAAGAACTTTTCCCTGATCAATTTTTAATAGATTATTTTACGGTCATAGATCAGTTCAATTGGATCAAACTCAGACGATTCATTTGACGAATCACTGGTAGAAAATCTCAAGAAATTTAAACTTTGTCCCAATCCTGTGTGTAATTGTGACAATAGATTTCAATTGTTGTTTCAAGAATTTGAAGATATCTCTCAAAAGCTCCCTGTGATTGTTTATAATAGGCAACAGATTTCAGTGGAAGCACAGTACCTCATTTTGCTCTTGGGAACTTTGCACCTTTCTGGATTTAAAATGGAGTTCAACGATTTTAAGTGTTTGAGACCACCTCTTTACCCCAACCTCTGCACAACAGGCCTTGTCATTATACAGGCAGATAACACACACAACCCATTATCAGCTACTAATAGCCCCCATTAGGAGGTATTCGTTCCCCCAGACTGATTTTTAACCACTTTTGTGTCTGTCCAACTGTTTTTCTCTCTCTTTGGTCTCTATCTTCACCTATTGTTTACTACCCCACCCCCCGCCCACTCCATGTCCTGCATAAATGTCAACTTTTTCCTAGCTTTTTCCTATCAGTTCTGAAGAAGGGTCTCTGGACCTACAATGTTTATTTCTAATTTCTCACCACAGATACTGCTAGACCTGCTGAGTTTTCCTAGCAATTTCTGTTTTTATTTTTGATTACCAGCTACCATACTTCTGTTTTTTTTGGTAGACTTCAGCTGTGTTATACCCAATTACCAATCATTATCCTGGAAAATTTTAGACACAATGTTGGAACCTTAGTTAGATTGTATTTCAATTGGTAGTCTATACCAAGTACAATATTGATTTAATGTTTCCACTACTACCTCAATTGTTATTGTCCAATCCATAATTGTAAGGAATTGTAAGTTCTGCTCCTCTCTCCAACTGGGTTTCCATTCTAACCTTTCTTTTTGTTCTCCATTGCTCCTTTTGTTTTCTCTCCTGGTATTTGATAAAGTCTTCGCCAAAACTCGCTTCTACAGCCACAACTCATTCATCAGCGACTGCATCCAGCTCAGACTCACTCAGCATGGGTTCTGACCCATGTTTTCACCCATATTTTCACCCATATTCACAGGTATCTCCATGATGTACAACACTCCTCCAACAGTTGTTCTCACTGCATCCTGAGATCCACACTAAGTGCTATGTCCTGCCATATGCACAGTCTTAAGCTCTCTCCCCATCAGTGCCGCCTCTTGCTGTTTCAGAGCTGTCCTGCACACCAGTTTCACTGCATTTTCTGACTCTTTCAACATCCTAACAAGAATCTTTTTCTCTTCCTTTCAGGCATTAAGGAACACAACCTGGTACAACTCAGAGATACCATGCCCCTCTGGAATGTTGCTCCCCTTCCCTTCCCTCTGACTCCATCCTTTTTCCTGATCCCACTACTTTTATCAGATATTTAATATCACTTCTGACCTACCACTCTCAGATGCTGAACATTCTGCACTGAGCAAATGTCTTAATTTTATCTCTCTGTGCCCTCACCTCAATGAATTTTGAACACACAAGTCTTGAGCTCTTCTTCCATTGCCTCTGCCTCCATGTCCATTTCTTTGAATAGAGTCCTCTCCATGTCCCAGAGAATCTTCACCCGCCTCCAACACTCTCCCTACACTGGACCCTTCCCGTAGCCTTTTACCCGCACATGGTGTGTTCATTGAGAACTGCTGATGTGACGTTGGTCATCTTAATTTCCCTGCCCTGCATTACGCATTTGAACCAAACTCCTTCTGAACTGACTGCACTCAGATCCAATCCTGACTTTCTCATCAAGCCTGAAAAGAAGCATAGTGCAGTTTTGTATGCCATACTGACCTCGACATTGCAGAAGCTTGGTGCCAGCTGTCGGACATCTCCATCTATCGTACCCTAGGCCACGATCCCAACATCCAGTGTCACACCAATGTGTCCACAATTGTGAGTAACCTCATTTTAATCTGGGTATCTCCCCCCAATAGCCTCTAACGCCATACTCTCCCAACACCCTACACAGACACCTCAAATGTTAATGTTGATCTCTCTCACAGCATCTTCTCTGCGGCTGTAATACTGTATTCTACACACTATTTTGCTACCCTGATGTACTTTGTATGGTACGATCTGCCTGTACAGCATGCAAAACAACACTTTTCACTGTATCTTAATACATGTGACAACAATAAATCAAATCAAACCAAATCAAAATGCTGCTTCTTCTTTCTACCTGCCTGAGCAGGCCCATTGTTTCTGTTTGTTCCTGCCCCACAGAACTTATTTCTTCCTACATCAACTCCTTTTCTCCCATTGTCTAGGCCCTCCCCACCAAAAACGATGATTTTCCTGATCCTTTACGTCAGTTTCAGAGTTTCCAGTTTGTGGGCATCAATCTCCTCCTCTTCACCATGGACGTGCAATCCCTTTACATGTTCATCCCCCATCAGGATATTCTTAGGGTCCTCTACTTCTTCCTGGAAAGAAGACCTGAACCATCCCCATCCACCACCACCCTCCTCCTCCTGGCTAAGCTCGTTCTCACTTTCAATAATTTCTCCTTTAACTCCTCTCACTTCCATCAGACAAATGAGTATCCACATGGACCCTGGTTATGGCTGTCTGTTTGTGGGGTAACATTCCTTGTTCCAATTTACTCAGGTTCCTCCATGTAACTGTTTCTCTGTTACATTGATGACATCATTGGTGCAGTTTCCCTCTGGCATTCTTAGTATAATAGTACTCCAGAACTCGTTCAGCCTCAGCTTCAGTGTGAACTGCCTACATTGACTTATGTAATTCTGAATCTGCTTTCTACATTCAGGATTGAGATGAGGAAGAATTTCTTTACTCAGAAAATTGTGAACCTGTGGAATTCTCTCCCACAGGAAGCTGTTGGG